ATGTACATGTACATGTAATCCTTTATCTCCATGTCTCTCACTATTTAGAGTGTTGATAGAAAATGTGTGTCATTTACCTGACACATTCCCAGAGACTCAAAGTATCTTGAGGTACGTTATTCCGCTCATCATCCTGCCCCTCCCCCACCTCCTCTGGTCTCTTGTACAGCTGTGTGTTTGGTACCAATACAACAAGGTTAGGACACACAGTCAGTGTATGTACATGTACATGTTTGTACTTTTATGTTTTGACAAATTTTAGCAACTTAAAAAATTGTAGAAATTTTAATTTTGATTAGAATGAGCTCAAACTTTTTATACAACATCAGAATATGTACATGTCTGTATCGAGAAAATTATAGAATTATAGCTATCTGTTTTCTAGCATTAATGAGATCTTATTACAAATACAACGAGACACCAAAGGTGTGTGGCCTCGCCCCTAAAGCTGCTTGGGATGTGTTATGCTTAGCTAGCCTAAGCCAGTACATTTAAATGATATAGATCAAAAGTGCTGACAGCCTGGACTAAGCAAGTGTGAAAAGTATGATGGGACTCTAGAATCCCAAAAATTGGTAAAACGTGTTCATAAATTCCCATTAGCATCTCAAGATTTATCACTTATTTATACAGTATATTTATACTTATTGCACTCTCATTTTAAAAACATCATGGGTTTCATAACCACAGCTATTGTTGTGGCCACAATCTATCAAAAACATGCTATGCAAAAAAATTAGAAATTGTGCTTTTGAGGCCAAGGGATTATCATAACAGCTAGCTTCCTAGCTGCAGTTACACTAGCTCTTGCATGCTTGCAGAACTGGCAAGCTGCAGGGCCAACTCCCAGCTTGGTGCTGCTTGGAGGCGTGGCATTAATGCAGCAAGACCATGTGAGAGGGAAGCTTCACGTTTTTTTCTCTTCTTCTAAGCGCTATATGATGTTATAATGGCACAAATACTGTTGCCTAGATAGATTGAGTGACTTAAGAGAGTTTAGGATCCTTAGACTAGCCATGGACTAGCGAACTACTGCTACAGCACTTTACTCGGGATGAAATTCGAGTAGCTATAACTCACCAAAAAGGAAGATTTAGAGTCCCACACATATTAAATAAATAAATAGTCTTGATCTACTGGGAAAGAGTCTCATTTACATCCAGAGTACTACCGCTATTGCTGGGCATTTTCTCGTGAGTTAAAAAGCTTGTACTACCTAGAGCTGTTCTCGAAACATCTCGAAGCAGTAAAGCAAGACTTTTCCTAACAGAAGAGAAGCTCTCACAGGTTTAGAGCACGCAATTGTAAAGATATACATTCTCAAAGACAAAATCTAGCACACAGAATGAATGAACGAGAGCACTAAAGTGCGTACCCTCGACACAATCTGTATGTAAAAGTTTCAATAAATTAAGAGAAAATAATTGGTGAAAGTTTTGAGACAGAGAAGGAGCTTCAGCATGTACTAGATTTATTAAAACTTAGTGAATGTTTTGAGACAGAGAATTTTTTGTTTTTTTAGACAAAGAGCTCCAGCATATTTGCTGCCCTGCTGCTAGCTGCAGCAATGTAAAGGTGTGGCTGCAATGAAGGTGTGGCTCAATCAAGCCATGCTCCACCATAGATATTAGAGTAAATAAAAGGGATAGGAAACTTCCGTTCCCGGGAAATCAAGCTATTTACCCTAGAAAGCGGAGGAATCCGGATACCAGTATACTCTAGCTGTTATTTTCCATCGCCACAATGGGCGACTAGCCTGACTAGGCCATAATTCGTCCCTTGTAATAGCAAAAGTATGCTTCACAAAGACAAGATAATGGGCGGAAGACCCAGAATAACTCATCTAGATTCTGTATTCTGAAGTCTCTTTAGTCATTACTCGTTCAAGCAGTGAGATAATGGTACCCAACTAAACGCGGAAAGTTTACTTGTTTTTGAGCATAAAATGTGGAGAAAACAAGCTTTTGGAATTATTAAAGTTGGAAGACCTAAAGAAAAGAATTCTTTAATAGGGGCTTGCTTTAAATCTTTCATTTATAATATTGCTTTTGAGATAATGGGGACCAAAGAACAAACTAGTACTTTTTAAACTTTTAATCGCTAATAAATGCAATAGAAGAGCGTAAATCTTGCTATTTTTGGCTACAGCATGATAGTGGTATAACAGCTGATTTCTTTGAAGTATCATATGGCACTGCAATCACTACTATGCAAGTGCTATAGGTGAGAATCAGTGCTGCAGAGATGGAGAGAGCAAGTCTGGCCAGGGGTAACTAGCTTAAGTTGCTAGGCAACCTAATAATCTCAATGGAATAATCCACCCACGCAACGGAAGTTTCCTATCCCTTTCATTTACTCTAATATCTATGGCTCCACCCCCACACACAGTAAATGGTGGCACATGGCCTAAGTGGTGAAGAAAGCTTTGGTTTTTCTCGACTTTTAAACAGTTTAGCATACATTTGTTAGGCTCTATTTGTTGCATACAAACTGCTATCTAGTCCCTAATGTTAAAAGACTCTGGCTGCTACCTCGGGAGAAGAGAGCCTCGTCTAAACTCACAAGGTATGAAAGTTTGGACTATCATATCTTTAAAACGAAGACGATTGGAGCAATTCCTCTCATATTAATGAAAGATGAGGCTTTGCTTAATTGTTTTATCTGCCCTGTTGCTCTTTTGCTTTCACTACGAAAGAGCTGCAGGAGAGCCGACTACTTTTGGCGACTTTGCCAGCTTCTTTTACCACGGAAAAGACAAATCAAGGATTCCCAAGACGGAGAATAACTTTTTCTAGAGCTAGTATTGATTATATGACTCTCCAGGACAAGACAAGAAAGCAGTGTCAGCTCAAAAGTGGAGGTCAAAGCGAACACACAGACAGGACGACTGCTTTACCCTCGACCAACGCCTACGCGGTCTCGGGTAATGAAACACAGACAGACAAACCGAGTACCTAGTCCTCGCCTACGCAAAGCTGGGCGAGGCCAACAATGCAATTACTGCACTGATCCATAAAATAAATTTTAGGTGTGGTCAGCACTTAGCACTGAGTGCAAACATGGCACGTGGGTAGGAGAAAGAAGAAAAGCTGAAATTTATTTTAGCATCTGAAGCTCTATTCAAAGAAAGAGTAAGCACAAAAAATTGCCTAGATATTTAAAAGAGACTGAGATAGTTTGGTTGCTCCTGCTTTCCCCAGTGCTGCCTGAAAATTTTTCGAAGAGGCTAAATCACAAACTTTGAGCAACTGTAACTTGCAAACAAAAAAGAGATTAGAAAATTCCCACATATTTTTTAATCTATGTACTTTTCTCTACCTATCAATGCTAATCTTGACCAAATAGAGGGAAACACGAAGATTTGGCTAGGAAAAGTGGTCTATTCTTGAAATATTCAGCTTTTGCTACCACGGATTGCTATGAAAACACAACGGAGCTAAATAAATTATCTTTTTCTGAAAGCTTAAAAAGAATTATAACTCAGGAGAGCTCAGTAAAAAAGATATTGACTAGGAATTAACAGGAATTTTCGTGACAGAATGACAGACAGAACGAGAGCACTAAAGTGCATACCCTCGCCACATCAACAGTTTTAATAAATTAAGAGAAAATAATTAGTGAAAGTTTTGAGACAGAGATGAAGCTTCAGCATGTAATAGATTTATTAAAACTTAGTGAATGTTTTGAGACAGAGAATGTTTTGTATTTTTTAGATAGAGAGAAGCTTCAGCATGTTTGCTGACTGCTGCATGCTGCAGCAATGTAAAGGTGTGGCTGCAATGAAGGTGTGGCTCAATCAAGCCATGTGATGGAGTAATGGTGGGCTAAGTGGTCAAGAAAGCTTTAGTTTTTCTCGACTTTTAAACAGTTTAGCATACAATTGTTAGGCTCTATTTGTTGCATACAAACGTCTATTGAGTCCCTGATGTTTAAAGACTCTGGCCGCTACTTCTGGAGAAGAGAGCCTCGCCACAAGGTATGAATGTTTGGGCTCTCATATCTTGAAAACGAAGATGATTGGAGCAATTTCTTACATTATAATAAAAGATAAAGTTTTGTTCTATTGCTTCATTAGTTTTTTGCTATGATTCCTTTCACGATGAGAGAGTTGTGCGAGTGCCGACCTAAGTTTAACAACTTTGTTAGCTTTTGCTCCTGCGGAAAAGATAAATGAAGTGGTAGGCTGATAGGAACAAACTTTTCCTAGCTCTAGTGTTGATTATAAGACTCTTAAGAACTCAAATAGAAAGCAGCAGAGGCTTGAAAACAGATTTGGCTTGGACACACACACTGACAGGACGACTGCTTTACCCTCGCTTCCACGCCTACGCGTGGGCTCGGGTAATGACAACCCAACTGCTTAGTACCCGCCTACGCAAGCGTGGCGAGTCCAATAACAGCTTATAATCAACAGTGAAACTACAACTTGAAGATAAAATACTCGATATACAAACAATAAAATAAACAAGAATGTTTACAAATCCAACGAAGTAGCTCAAAAACATCATCAATTTAAAATGAACACAATAAAATTACTATAATTATTTTTAAAAGTCAAACATGCATACTGGTAATTATAATTCTAGCAGCTTATTTGCAAACTGAGACTCATTGACAGTTGAAGATCTGAGTGCGTTTAGTAAAGTCTCCCATGTAAATGGACGTGTAGCAAGATCCTCCCACAATTGAAACACGTCGCTTATTCCTTGGTTATTCTCCTCTATATCATCAAGCTGGGGAGGAGTCAGTGCTAACGCCAGTCCCACTTCACACCATTTACTTGTTAAATGAGGAATGACATAAAGAGATAGGTCTTTGTGTGTTAAATCTAGTGATAAGGATAATAAATTAATGTAATGTTAAAATGCAGCTAATATAATAATTTATGTACTTTTTTGAACAAGAGGAATGCCATTGGCAATAGGTGTCCTGTCTAGAACACTAGAATATTGATCAGTCACTAAAGAACTTCCAAGAAATGACATTTGTTGCCCCACATTCAACTGAGAATATTCACCATGATGTGATTGTAATGGCTGTGGCTTCATTGTTGCATCACCATTATGTTGACATTCATCATAGACAGGAATTCCTTCAATGTTAAGTCTGGAATATGTTCCATCATTAGGAAGCGAAGGATGAACATGTTCATGATTGTGTCCTAGTATGTCATAAGTTTCTGTGATCTCAGGTTTGATATCAGAGTAAGCAGATGGGTTAGGGTCATATGCTGGCGGCACTGGAGGAGCATTAGGATCAGGTTCAATGTCAATGTAATTCAATTGAATCTAAAATAATTTTAAAAGAACAATACTATTTATTGTGACTAACTGGGTTATTTGGTGGAGCTGAAACATAAGTGCTGCTGGTACTGATTGGTTTCTTTCCTTTTTTCTTTTTACTATAATATCGAACTGTGAGGCTAATACTTACTGCCACAACTGTTGTAAGAAATTATGTCACTATTGTGAAATGTGGGGCTTACCAATAATTAAAAATACTACTGCTGCAAAAATACCACAAATTAAAGCAATTACTCCACTGTTTGAGGAATTTGATGACATTGTTGAATTTACATGTATAGTAGGCAAAATTGTTTCAGTTAATATATCTATAAATTAATTTGCACCAAAATACTTCAATATAATTTCTCATACCTAATTTAGAGCTTGAATATGAAATCGATGATGTAACTAAACTATTTGTTATATGTGGAAAAGGCATTACAGATGATGAATGAACCGATGACATTAAAACTGAAGACGTCAAGTCATCAATATCAATACCAGTTAATACAGCAGCAGGATTAGTAGTACAGTCCTCCATTGATTCACATGCATACAGTGTTAAGTTATTACCAGCTGGTATGTTAGTAATACACTCAGTAAAGTTCAACTGATCATTACAAGATATACTGTAATACACTGGTTGAACTGACTCTTCATAATTAGTGATGTGAATATAAATAACATTAGTTGTACTGCCATTGACAAACTGAAATTGAAGACAAACTTTGTTAAATGTAACATTAACCACTGTTACGTTCTGAAGATCAAAAGTACCTTAGTGATAACAAATAACAAGCAATAGAATATTAATGTCACTTACTAATTCTTATAGGGTTGCTTCCAAACACTGCTCTATTTCGATAGTATATGATAACACTGGTGTCAAGTATCTCTCTTGATGGAAGATTTATAAGAATGAAAAGTAAAGTGGTATTATAAGAACTACTATTAGTGGATACATTTGTTGATGAATAACAAGTACTGGAATTACTAACAGTACAACCAGTTACTGTAATATTAAGAAGTGACACTCCAGTACACAACTGATAAGCCTACAGTAATTAAAAAACAGGTGTTACAGTGAAACCTGTGTGTCCGGAATAGACAGGTTTGACTGTAGTGTGTGTGTGTGGGGTGAGGATATTAAACTAACTGATAGTAAGTAATGTAAACTCCAACTATTGTTTATGTGGTATGTCAAATGTTCTTGATAAGTGCTCTGGAAATTTGAACCTATCAAAAAACAATAAATTAATTGTAAAATTTATGTTTCATACTTGATTGAAATCCAACTGTTATGTTACTAGTAGATCCATTCCCAGCTTTATTAGCAGTTGTAATGTTAAACAGATA